CCTTCTTTATGACACATGAAGAAGAGCAGAAGACACAGGTTTGGTTCCGGTGCTCGTTCCAGCTTGGCTTTCATCTCCGATGTATCCCTAACGTCCAGGTGGATTTTTTGGATGACTCACCTCAGATGTGAAGGAGCAAACCATGATCTCTCCCAGCCCTTACTGAGCAGGGAGCATGATGAATCTTTAATGATGACACTTCTGTTTCCTCCAGGCTTCCGCAGGTATTTCAATTTTAAAAAGCCACGAGGAAATTGAAACAGTTCTAATGTTTTAAATAGAGTATAAATTACTTCCTCCAGTAAGAATAATACACAGAAGGAAGAAAAGGCCTTAAAAAATAATGTTTAAGTGAGACACTGTGTTAGCAGAGTGATCGCTCTGATACCCAACCCTGCAGCTAAGCCATCCCTGTCCTTTAGCTCCCAGGTGCTAAGTGGGGAATTTGAGGAATTTTTGGGAATTCTTTAGTCCTGTAGGGATCCTGCTGCCATGGACATGGGTGGGAGCCCAATTCCCCTCACCAGTCTCATGGATATTGAGCTAAGATCAACAAAAAACTTAATTTTTTTGTAAAGTGAAGGTTTGCTCTTTTCATAGCAGTGTGTGTGTTCTGCAGTGCTGTTGGATGGAGTTTTCAGGGAAGCACTGGAGGTTCCTGCAGGCTCCAGAGTTCACTGTGAGGTGATGCTGGTGGCTCAGAGGGGACAGGGGATGTGGTCAGTGCAGAGCAGCAGGGCTTGGAGCAGAACAAGGGAGACCAGAAGTGCTGACACACATTTGAGATCTGTCAGCATGTGAGCAGTAAGTGACTAAAATAGGCAACTTTCCTGACAAAAGCTGGGGATGAGGCCAAGGCCAGTGATCTAAAGTCATTCCAGCTCTGCCTGGTGTCACTCTGGGTGTCAATCATAGAATGCTTGAACTTGGAAAAACTCTCTTAACATTGAGTCCAAGCATTCCCCCTGCACTGCCGAGGTCACCCCTGACCCACGTCCCTAAGCGCCACATCCACAAGATTTCTGAATGCTTCCAGGGTGGTGGAAGTGTTCCCCAGGCAGCCTGTTTCAATTCTTGAAAACCCTTTTGGTGAAGGAATTTGTCCCAATATCCACCCTGAGCCTGCCCTGCCCAGCCTGGGGCCGTTCCCTCTGCTCCTGTCCCTGTTCCTGGAGCAGAGCCCGACCCCCCGGCTGTCCCCTCCTGGCAGGAGCTGTGAGAGCCACAAGGTCCCCCTGATCCCCCTTTGCTCCAGGCTGAGCCCCCTCAGCTCCCTCAGGAGTTCCCAGCCCCTTCCCAGATCCCTCAGGAGTTCCCAGCCCCTTCCCAAATCCCTCAGGAGTTCCCAGCTCCATTCCCAGCTCCCTCAGGAATTCCGCAGCCCCTTCCCAGCTCCATTCCCTTCCCTGGACACACTCCAGCCTCTCAATGTCCTTGTCACTCCTGGTTTGTCACCAACCAGTGTCCTCCAGCCTGGCAAAGACCTGAACCACTGGGAAAGCAGCGTTTTTCCATGGTTTTTATGTGAGTCCCAAGTTTTGCAAAAAACCTGAGCTGGCTCCGTGTGGGGCTGTCCTGGGCCTGCCAAACATTCCCGGGCAGTGATTCCTCAGCAGCACCCTCACCTCTGCCATCGAGCTGGGCTTCAGCAGCTGATTTACAAGCACATCTTTTCTGAACCATTCTCTGAGGCAGCTGCCAGTTGGCCCGAGGCAGGATCCAGGCACTCGAGACTGGGGAATCGGTTCCAGCTGCACTCCGTAATTAGGAAAACCCTGGGCTGCAGCCGGATGTCCAGATGCCTCACAGAATTCACAGAATTCACGGAATTCACAGAATTCCAAAATCACTGGGTTGGAAGAGACCCTCAAGATCATCCAGTCCAACTCAGCCCCAACTCCTCAACTCCACCCTGGCACCCAGTGCCACATCCAGGCTTTGTTAAACACACCCAGGGATGGTGACTCCACCACCTCCCTGGGCAGCCGTTCCAGAACTTTATCACCCTTTCTGTAAAATACTTTTTCCTGATATCCAACCTGTATTTCCCTGGGTGCAGCTTGAGGCTGTGTGCTCTGGTTCTGTCAGTTCCTGGAGACAGAGCCCAGCCCCAGCTGAGCACAGCCACCTTCCAGGAGCTGTACAGAGCTCCCTGAGTCTCCTTTTCTCCAGGCTGAACACCCCCAGCTCCCTTGCCAAGGAAGCATTTGGTTCAACAAACAGGATCTGTGAGGGGAGAAAATGAAGAAGAGTGAAGATGTCACAGGACAGAGCTCAGGTGCCAGCAGCTGCTCCTCTGTTCCTCATGGCACCTCCCATTTTTAATTGATTGTGGTGGGAAGGGAAGGTCTGGGGAGGTTAAACCAATCCTTGGGATTTCAGCTTGGAGAGAAATAAGTTTCTCCTGCTCCCCACAGAGACAGAAAGTACTTGAAATGCCATTTCTTTCATGCTTTCACACCAGGGAAAAAGTGAACTTTGCATTTTGTTGTGTAACAAGGGTTCCAGGGCAATGTGTTTTGTCAGCAGTGAGAATCTGAACGCCCGGTGTGTGACACGTCTCAGCTAAAGCCTTGTGCTCCCTGTAGTGCCTTCAGTGCAAACACAGATTCCAGCTCTTTTTAAAGGTTTGGGTTTTTTTTTTTTTTGCTTGTTCTCTTAACATGAATTAACAAACATAAAGCTTCCAACAACAGATTTAATAATACCATGATAAATGCCAGTGCTTTTGCCACCAATGCCATTTAATCTTTCTCAGCAAATACATTCAATGACTTGCCAAAAGTTTGAGTGTTTTGCAGCTGTAGGATTCCTATAGCAATGTGAGAATGTCCTTGCATGGGATAGGATACAAAGGGCAATGCGAAACTCTACTGTGGATAATTTAGCAAAGGAAATAAATATTTCCTCTTCTTCTCACCTCTTGCCTCTTCTTCTCTCCTTCTTGCCTCTCCTGCTCCAGAAACAGCTATTTTTAAAGTTAAACAGACATAAATTTACCAATCTATTCCAAGGGATCTGTGGGATATTGGAAGGTTCTACCCATAGAATATTGCTTATCATGGGAGGTTACTTGGATAAGAATAATTTACCTGTTCTGTGCAATCTGCTGTGTGGACTTTGACAACTTGCTCTTCTTTGACTCTGTAGTCATCAATATTTCTCTGGTGCTGGAAATGCATTTGAATGAAATTCATGGAAGAATGAGCCTGTGGGATCTGATTTATCCCTGGACTGCCTCTGGATTTCTTTGTGCACCAGCTGACATTCAGAAGTTGATGATCTCCTATTGTAGTTTCCTCTTTGATCTGAGACAACTGCAGGGTTTTTGCTGCAAAGCATTTCTGGAAAATATTGATAACTTAGAGGAAGTTGTTACTTTAATTACATAGGGTTTTTTAATCAAATTTCTATTAATGTCTCAATCCACAAATTTCTTCTTTACCCCACTCTTCAGGTTATTCCCTATTTAATTGTTTTAAAAAATAAGTAAGAGCACACATGGCTGCTCTTCACCATGAAGGTGCCCACGTGTGTCTCACCCCAGCACTGATACACTGAAAATAACCTTTCCATGAGGCTTCCCCAGCAGCAGAGGAGAGTTTTGTCCTTGGATCCTGTCCTCCTCACCGTGCACCACGACAGGGTGAGGAGCTGGCTCCAAGGGCATCTCACCCGTGTTTGGTGCCAGCAGTTTCCAGTGCTAGACCAGGTTCCTGCCTTGGCACGGATTGCAGCCCAGCATTATTCCTTTGCCAAAAACCATGGAGAGGGCCCTCTGCTCTGGCTGTTTGCTGGATTCTGGTTTTTCCCACACTGTGGCTAATGAGTCCAGCTGTTTGCTCTGTGGCTCTGGACTCTGCTGCTCAATGACAAAAACAAACTTCTCCCTTCATGCCAGCCATGGACATGCATGGTGGCATTGGCATCTTGGAGTTATGCTAGGGAAGTGTTAAATTGTATTTTAGTGTATCTTATTAAACAAAAATCTCATCAAAACCCCTCTAAACATTGTGGTGGGACTAAAGATTTCTTGAAGGATAGATCTGATATCTTCCTCCTCTTGCCCTTCGCCCAAGGAGATGAATTCTGTTGTGGTGGGTATAGTTTAATAAACAATTCCTAAAGTGGAGCTGATTTATATTCCTTTGTTAATATAATGTAACACATAAACTGAATTTCTGCTTAGCAAAAAATTTTCTCCTGTGGCAGCCTGCCTGGGTGGAAGAAAAATAATACAAAAGGTCTTACCAGTGGTGTGACATGTTGCTATAAAACAACAGCCAGGAACGTCAAGAGATTTCAGTCCAAATGGAGAATTTCTGAAAATTAATTCTGGATGCTTAATACAAACTAGAAAGTAACGTAATTTCTGGCAAAGCAGTTGACAGCAGACGTAATGTATCAGTGCAATAGCCCAGACTGTGTTAAATGGAAATTAGCTCCATGTAAAAAGCTGCAGAGGGAGAACAGTGCTCACAGAAAACAGCCCGTGACAAAAGCAGAGGTTGAGATGCTGGTGGAACAGTTATCACTAAACTGGGAATGTTGTGATGTGATAGAATTTATGGTCGTGGTTTGGAACCACTGCAGCTCTTTAAATGTGAAGGTGCCTCAGTGCCAGTGAAACCCAGCTCCTTGCTGGGCTGTGTGTGCTCCCCGTTCTGCAGAGAGCACAAAAGGGGTGTTTGCTGAAATCCACATTTCCTGGCTTCCCCAGTCCCTCCACGGTCATGCCCAAAGCCATGGAAACCAAAAGCAGAGACAGTGAAGCTTTGGATCAGCCCTGGACACAGTGTGGGGCTGTCCAAGTCCTTGCAGTAGGATCCCAAGGTGTTTCAAAGAGCCTCTTCTGTGGAGGGGGAGAAACAGATCCCAGGGCAATCAGATCATTTCCTTGACTCCTTCCCTCCTTCTGCGCTGCATTTAAAAGCACATTTTCTAACCCATCTCCTCCAGAACACTGACAGTAATGTTCTTTTCTCTGTGTTTTTCCCCAGGGGTGACACAAAAGCACTGGGGCCCTGATGGTCAGAGGACATGCACAGACCTTCAGCTGGAGAATGGTGTGTGGGGAAAATCCAGCCCTACCAAGGTAAAATAAATAAGTTCTGTCTGGGGAGCAGTCAGCAGAATTCAGGAGGGTTTAAAAAACAAGCACTGATTGCTGAGCAGTGTGTTTGGACTTGGTTTTGTTTAGCTAAGCTTAGCTTAAGCAGCAGAAAAGCCAAATATAACGATGGTTAAGTGTTGTGATTCTGCGTGCTCTTGGTGAGGGGGAAAAATGGCATGTTTTGCTGGGGAAAAGAAGTTGTAAAAAACCCTCCACAAAGCTAAATCAAGCAATATCCCAAATATCAATACACTCTGCCTGATATGTCCTCAGGATAAAGCCTGAGGTTTTCAGCTCACCACAATTACTTTGTGTATGTGTGGGTTTTTTTCACAAGATGCAATGAAGCTTGAAAGCTCCCAACAAGCACAGGATCAGCTGGCATTGGGGGAGGAGAAAATAATACATATTTTCAACAGAAAAAAGGAAAAGTAAATTATTTAAAATATTGGCACAGAAGTTTGTAGCTAATCAGGAGCATTTCTGACATGCCTTTGGACTCTTGCAGGATGTCTCCATCTGTGCAGCCCTCAACAAAAGAAATAAATGTCAAATTAACTACTGGAGCATGAGAGATGCATCCAAAATAAAGTCTCTCAAGGAACATTCTTCTTTGGTGCCCTGTAGAAATCTGGAGGAACTTGAGAATTTTGGAAGGCATGCAAAGGTCTTAAACCTGTAGGTAGAAGTAAATGAAGTGAAGAAAATATGAGGCGAATGTTGTTACAAACCATGAAAGAAACAGAGGAGGAAGAAAATGCTTTCCCTGAGGCTGTGAAATTATTGAATTGTCCAAACCACAAGCAGCTGGTTTAAAGAGTTGATAAAATTTATCTGGCATTTCACCTCATTAATAAACTCTTGATCTACCTCTGCCTGTTTGGGTTCCCAAGAGGCTCCTTCCTAAAAGATACAAAGCAAATGTTTCTGGTGATGTTTTCCTCCATGGAGGAAGACCACAGGGATGGTTTTATAGGAGCATCAGATCATGGAATGATTTGGGTTGGAAGGGTCCTTAAAGATCATCTCCCCTTGGGCTCCAGTGCAGTGTCACCCTGATACTTTGTGCAGGCTGCCCTAGAGCAGAGGCTGGACAGAGTCACAGAATAAAGCAGGGATTTACTCAAGGATCTCCTCATGGATCCACCTTGGGCAGCACCAGAGCCCAGCCAGGGCTGCACCCAAATGACCCAAAATGGTCCCAAAATGCACGAGCGCTCCCGGGGCTCTCCCTGGGATCAGTTCTGCTCCATTGGCACCTTGGAGTTCATTGTCCCATTCCAGCTCCAGCCCATCAGTCCCACCCTGCTGGTTTTTCTCTCTCCAGCCCACGCTGTTTGTGCTCCTGGGCTGAGGTTTGGAGCATTTGTCCTTGGTGCCCAGCTGGAGCAGGAATTGTTTTGTCTCCCTGCTCTGTGCAGAGAGCTCAGCATCCCCTGGTGTGAAGCCCAGACTCACTAAAGCAGCACAGAATGTGAAAAACAGAAAAGCTGAAACCTGATGCATCGTTTCTCCCTTCCTGAGAAGGGTGACCATGGCACCAGGGAGGTTATAGTGCTGCCACCCTCACAGTCTCCCAGAGGAAGAACAATATCGTGTTTTGTGAAGCCCTTGTTGAGTCCTGGCATTGATTATCAGGTGATAGAGACACTCAGCTAGGACTGGGGTGAATTCATAACAAGCATGAATTGATGGTACCTAAACACAGGATGGGCTTTCTTTAGGAAGCTAATCCTCAGATTCTGCTTGCCAATTCAGTGTTGTCTTTGGTTTTGGGGGTTTTTTTTATCTGTTAGGATCAAGAAATCTGGGAACACAGGGCAGGAGCAATCTAATGAACCAGTTTACAGCAGCAATGAGATTAGACCAGATGCTTTATTGCATAGGATTTATGTGCCCAGCAGGATAGATAATAATAGCAGGAGGCTTTAAACTCAGGTTTACTCTGTCAGAGAGCTGGAACATAAAAGCACCTCCTTTGTCACCTCGAGGGAAGTAAGGTGTGGTCTATCAAGATGGATGTTTCCTGTCATGGATAGAAAAATTAATCTGGGCCACTCTAAGTCTCTGGGCCACTGTCAATCAATCTTGTCCATATGTGTTTGTACATGGTTGGCAGGTGTCACCGAGGAATCATAAGAAAGAGAGAATTAACTAAAATAGTACCCAGAGCCCTTGTGGGTAACTGTATCACTTTTTTGGGAGTTTTTCATGCCTATAACTGATTATAAAGCTGTCATGCCCCTGGTGCCCATGTCTTCTGAAGCATGTGATGTCACAGGCCAGTGATCCATAGTATACTTAAACGCATTCTAAATTCCAGCAGATGATCATGAAAGAGGAGATTATAGTCTGAAACTGGCAATGGTCTTCACTTTTAAACACCCACCAATACCATCCATGGTCATGAGTTAAATACTCAAAATAATACTATGGAATACACATTTTATATTTTCATATTTTTCCCTTCAGCAGAGTGATAAAGTTTTCATTGAAGCCTCCCAGACAATTCAGAGCTGATTTCAAGAGTGTACATTTTTTAAATGACAAAAAAGTTATTATGAATAGAAAGGTAACAAGAGATTGTGAACAAAACTGTCTGCTGTGATAGATGGTGGATGAGAAACAGTTGCACACAGGATATTGGAGTACGGTGATAACTGGGAATCTTTTCATTTGCAGGAATCTCTGCCTTCCCAAAACACAACATTGATTTCACCCATAATCATTACACAGATTGATGAGGATAAGTCCAGAGGAAACCAGCTCTCTCTGCCTATGCAGGCCCTGATCCCCCAGCCCAGAGCTTGTCACACAAAGCCATCCTTGACTAACCAGGGCTCAGCCATCGTTAGCAGAACATTTTTGGTGCTTCCCAGCAGGTTAGAGATTCAGGCATCCTCAGAAGACTCCATGTCACCATCGGACTCTCCCAGTCCAAAGCGGTGTCCAAGGCAGCAGAGAGGCTTTGCCTCCATCACTGTCACAGCCAGGCGTGTTCCTGTGGGCTCTGGAGACCTGGCACGTGGCCCTGGGGCTGGCCAGGAGCCCAGCACCGTGTCCCCCACGTCCAGCAAGGTCCCTGCTCTCCTCAAGCACTGGCCTCCCCCAGCCCGTGCCAACCAACCTCCTTTAAAGGTTTCCAAGTCTTGCTCAAACTTAGGTGAAGAACCCCAAAAGCAGCTTTTTGACCCTGGAATCAAGGAGGATGGCGTGGCTCTCCAAAGCAGTGATAGGAGGGAGAAAATTCCAGCTTCATTCATCTCCTGTGTCCAGCTCCAGGTGTCTGAGCCGTGTCCAAGCACCATCTATTATTTGGACAAGTCACTCAGTGTGTGCATTGATCAACCTCCAGTTAAATGCCAAAAAATGTATAGATCCACGTTGTCCTTGAGCCTGAAGTGCAGTTTGTCCGGATTAACAGCAGATGGAGTAGATGGCATAGCTAATGGAGAGCCCATGGAGGAGAGAGCTCCAAGGAAGCTCCCGGGAGCGCACCGGGCTCCACTCAGATCCCACCTGAGCGCAGACTTCACGGGAAATAAGGTAATTAAGGAGAAGAAAACAAAGGAAGGACATTTGGGTCGTAAATACCCTTTGCAAAGTGTCTTTGCCTCGGGACTTCCAGCGTTTGTGGATATTCCCAGAGAACCTCCCAAGGCAGCAGCAGCAAAGGAAGAGGATGAGCAGCCTGGCAGCCACCACGCTGTGTTTTCCCTCCAAATTCCTAATTCGAGCAATGAGGCAGGTAAGTCATTTCCATAAACATCAGGCTGGTGGAGCAGAGGTTCAAGCTGGAGCAGCCCCACCACAGTGATCCTGTGAGAGAAGATAAGAGCAATCCTTGCTTCTGCAGAGGCTCAGGGAGTTAGAGCACAACCCAGAGGTTTCCAGCTCCAGCACTACCATGAATATTTGCTATGGTAGTGATGCGTGCTGCTCATCAGCTGAGAGAGAAAAATCCCCCTGTGTTTTCTTCATTAAACCTCTTTTTTTAACCATTTATAACAGTATTTTTTTTATTATTCTCTCAGCAATGTGCAAGTGCTTATCCCCTGAAAATAATTAGGTTTATGTTTGAATAAGGGCTGAATTTCAAGGTGTGAATTTAAGGAGATGACTGCACTGAGCTTGGTTTTGTGCTCCTTGCAATTAAAAATGATCTTGTTTTCAGCTTTTATTTAGAAGACTACAGTAATAAGCTCAGGCTTTTCTACTTAATGGAACCAGGTAAAAGGTTTGCAAATCTTGAACACATTTGTTTCCAACCTTTCCAAGCATTTTACAAACATAAAATGTTCTTTGCAGCATTGCTCCTTGGGGAAGGGAGAGGGGCCCTGGGGATTGCTTCCTGCCCAGAGTGGTGCAGCTCCTGCTGCACTGGGATTTTCCAGCACACTTGGATAACCACAGCTGAGTTTATTGCCTTTCCAGGAAGGGAAGGTGGATGGGAAGATTGGCAATGAGTGGAGTCTCTTTCCTACCAAAAACACAAAGATTAAACTCACCCCCTCTGTATCCTGCAGCCTTGGGCTACTTTTAATTACAATTACCCTTTTCTTATTTGGCCTTTTTGATCTAAGGGTCAGTGCATGAACATGAGTGACTTCCTAAAGCTCCTTTGTACCTTCATCCTCCCAGTGTGCAAGTGGAAGGAAAGAGAAAGATGAGAAGCCTCATGCTGCCTCGACGGCTGGGCAAGGTGCAAACTCCTTGCAGTCTCTGCTGCTCTCCCTTCTCCATGCCTGAAATCAATGGGATTGTTCCTGCAGGGGCAGAGCCTGAGATAAAATATTCCTCAATTTTCCTAAGCTGTGTGGTGTTGGAGGGGAGAAAGCACAGTGGGGAGCAGGAGAGGGAAGATGCCAACCAGTGCTAAGGGGTTTGGGGTGGAAATATAAAGGGATGGCACCAGCAAATGAAACATTTCATTCTATGCATCTTAATTTTGAATATCAGGGAATATCACTCCATGGGGAGTGTTATGTATTCAAGGCTTCGTTCAACACCATCTAAGGTTTCTCTGTGACAAAGCAGATTTAAAACTGAGCCTTCCCTGGGCTTAGTGATGCCATGGTGGCATAGAAGAACCAGTTTTACTGGAAATAATTAGAAAGTGAGTTGGGAGGCTGCTCATGGTTCCATAGTTTTACTGAAAGGAGGAAATCGGTGAATTTAGGAGCTGAGAAATACAGGTTTGTGATAAAGGACTTCCACCATTTGTGTACACAAGACTATAGGTGTAAATAAACATGGGAAGTGTTACCTTTTAACTGCTTCCACCTTTTGTGTGGGCCATAATATAGAATGCAAAGATATACATTTCTCTTGCTCAGACCTTTTGTAATGTGTAAGGAGGTGTTTATCAGCTTACTACAACTTTCCTGTGTGAAATTTGTATAAACAACCAGAATAATGCTCCAAAACCACAGCCTTTGTCAGCAGGGTCATCCAAGTAATGAGCTTGTGCACAGCCATCAACCATTAAATGGGACAAACCATGAGAAACTTGGTAAAATGCATGGGACATCCACACTGGGCCTCAAATGAGAGAGAATGGTGTGATTTTAACCTGAGACAAATGAAAAACTGAGTCTTTTTTACTTCTGGACTGGGTGAAGTGAGGAGGAGAAGTATTGGTATGAGATTATCAATCAGAGAATAGTTAATGTTTGAAAAGACCTTTAAAGATCATCCAGTCAAACCATCCCCCAGCACTGCCAAGGCCACCACTGACCCATGTCCCCAAGTTCCACATCCAGAGGGTTTTTAAATCCCTCTAGGACTGAACAACCCTTTTGGAGAAGAGCTTTTATCCCATTCGAGATTCCCGGTTAGTTTGGATATTTTTTCCTCTGCTGTTTATTAATTCAAACCCGTTCCTGTTAAGCTTTGCTCCTCTCCATGTTTATGCAATGAAATGTTTGTGAAATGAAGTGTTTAAAAAGAAAGGAGAACCAGCAAAGAAGGGACAGTGAACAGGTTTTGCCACAGTGTTCGTGCTGTAACTCAGTTATCTTCTTGATGAGGTAACTGCAGAGAGCACTTTGTCCATTACATTTCTGATGACCCAGAAAGTTGGAGTTTATATTGGTTTGCAGCTGTAGGCAAGAGCTTCCTGCCAGCAGAAATACAAGTGGTAATAACATCACTATGCTGAAAAAAAAAAGAAAAATTACTTTCAAGGCTACACTTCTCTGTATGAAATCTGTAAATGCAGTTTCCAGGATGTATAGGTTGCTTTATAAGGCTCTGAGTTGGACAAAGCACCCAAATACTTCTCTGCTTTACAGGTGCTGGGACTGGGTTGGCTGTTTCCTACAGGCCCAGTTGAGTGTCTTTTTCTTAATCTTTTGTGTGACTTCACTGCAGTAATGATGACTCTACTTACTGTATTACTCACATTATTTCATGTCCAAATCCAGCCGTTCAAGACTTGGCTTTACATGGACCTGGATAACTTAATCTAAGGCCCTTCTTTCAGCAGGAGGCCGGGCCAGGTAATCTCCAGAGTTATGTATTTCCATCATGTGCCACATTATGAAAAGGATGCTTTAGGATTATTAATGAAATGTAAATCTTGGGTTCCGCTCGTGGATGGGAATTACACTTGGAAATCCAAATCTCTGGGACTCAGAGTTCAAAGCCATGGTTCATGCTAGAGTATCCCATGGATGGAATATGATATTTCCCCACTGTGGACTCTTCTCTTCTATTGGCTCTGCTGCTTTGGGCCTTTACTTCCATTATCTGGCAAGAAATGGGATCGTAAGTGCTGGAAAATCCATGTTATACATGAAGTCAGACTTGAACCGTGGGAGGACAGAGCCGTAGGACAGAACTGTGTTTATTTTTAGTGAGTGGCCAACATTCCCACATCCCTTGGGCAGCTGCAGGAATGTGTGAAGGGTCCCACTGGGGGCCACACGAGCCACCCACCTCAGAGATGTGGCCAGGGGCCAGCCCAGGCCAAGCTCCACGAGGTCCTGCCAGGGGTGATGGATGTGCATCACCCTGCCTTTGGTCACGGCTTTTAACAAGCTGTCAGAACTTGCTAACGCTGCTCCTAGGCAATGCTGCAATTTCCTTTCCTGTCTGCAGCTGATGTCTCATAAATACAAGGTAAGTTAGGAATGAAAAGATTAGTCTTGTTTCTGCTGAAGACAGGAACATTTTTAATATTAATTTCTCACCTTCCTTTCATGAAGAATATATTCCCCATGAATATCTAGTTCTCCATCCATCTTTCACTATCTATTACCCTACTGGGCACTAGGCTGAATTATTAAAAAGGAGAAAAAAGAAGAAAATGGGACAATTTTAAATTCTTTTTGACCTCTTGATTAAACAATATGATCACTTTTCTAGGGAAGATTATAAATGCCAACATCTAAATTTATCCATTTGAGCTTAGATAGCAGTAAACTTCACGCCTGAGCACCTTCACACATCTCAGCTATTTTCTAAACCAAAATATTTCCTGCTCACCTCTACACTTTTGTTCATGTTTTGTTGTCATACCCAAAACTGATGTGGAGAGATATTAAGGAATAACAACCAAGGTGGAGAGTGAATCCAGTCTGGATGGTGGGTGCTGTGCTGGATCCCACTGCCCTGAGTTGAGGTCCAGATGTGCTAGGAGGGTGGGGGGAGATGACAAAAGGGAAAATCATAAATCACATTGCCATGTAAGCCACCCAAAATTAGGGATATCAGGGTTATAAGGTGATCATCAGCCACAGTGTGGCCACGGGACCAGGACAGTGACAATCCCTATTCTGGGCACGGATGAGGGACCTCAGGTCCTGGGGTCAGTCTTGGACAAGAGAGACATTGAGGGGCCGGAACTGGTCCAGGGAATGGAGCTGGAGAAGGCTCTGAGGGAGCTGAGGGGGCTCAGCCTGGAGCAAAGGGGGATCAGGGGGACCTTGTGGCTCTCACAGCTCCTGCCAGGAGGGCACAGCCGGGGGGTCGGGCTCTGCTCCAGGAACAGGGACAGGAGCAGAGGGAACGGCCTCAGGCTGGGCTCAGGGTGGATATTTGGGAAAATTCCTTCATGGAAAGGTTTGTCCAGGCCTGACCCAGCTGCCCAGGGCAGTTTGGAGTCCCCATCCATGGAGGGCTTCAAAAGCCATGTGTGTGGCCCCTGGGGACACGGTGGCCTCGGCAGAGCTGGACCAGGACACGGGAAGGCCTTTTCCAGCAGAAGGGTTCCGAGGTTCCGCGCTGGAGCCGGCTCGGGAGGGGATGGCACAATGGGGTGGCTGTGATGGAGGTGCCCAGCAGTGCCTGGGAGCTGTCCTGCCAGGGGAGCACTGCCAGCCTTCCTCTTTCAGAACTCAGGGCTGGAATGCTTGGGAAGGCAAGGACGTGGTCCCAGCAGTGATCCAGACACAGCAGAGACTCAGTAATGCACCACTTGTATCTTCTCCCAAAGAGCGGGGCAGGTGACTTGAAAGCATAATTTGCTTAATTAAAACAACCCAAGGCAGCGAGTAGAGGAAACTGAGATGGGATCTGGGCTTTGGGTTTGTTGAATGGCCCCAGATGACTACAGTCTTCTGTTTCCTTCTTGAACTTATTTATTAACAAGTGCTGAAGTCAGCAGTGTGTTTTGAAGGGGTAAATAACTAGACTTGAATTTGTTTCAAGAGCTATTTTAATTTTTTGGTGCATGTATGTGTATTCCTACTCATACTGGAGTAAAATCAGAACATCTGGTGCTGTGGGATTTTGATAAGCTGCTAC